GCGCCCTCCTCCTGCCCTCCCTGGCCCAGAGAACGCGGGGGAGGAGGGCTGGTCTGGCGGGGAGCGGGCTGTGGTKCTTCTCCTGCTTTGGTGGGGGTGGGTTCAGCTTGAAATCACGGTTTCCTTAAACGTTGTTTTGTATTTTMCAGGGACTTTTTCTTTATCGGGGTATCGAGTGAGCAGCGATGGAAAGCCACCGAAATTCCAGCCGCCTCCGAAGCCCGTCATTATTGACAGGAAGACGCAGAAGGAGGAGAAGAGGTGAGGGTGTCTCCCTGTTCACCTGAGCCTGTACAGCCTTCCCTGCGCTTGTGTGCAGGCCTGTGCTCAGGCTGGTCACTGTGTGAGTACGCACGTAAAGAGCCGAGGCATTATTACTTAAAAGAAAACCCCCAACAGTTCGTAAAGTTTTAGTAAAGACCATTTGTGTTGAAATGTGTTCACAACACCWTAAAATACTGTTTCTGGTGTTTCTGAAAGCATTGGAACATAAAAAAATGTAAAGCACTAAACAATTTTGCAAATTTGGTTTAATGTGTGGGGTTCTGTCTGTTAAAGGCATCTCTAGTGTGMCAGGGGTGACAGGGACATGGGTCCTGTGTCTGCCTTTGCCTTAGGCCTTGAGATCACTTGTGGAGCACATGCGTCACTGTTCGTGAAATGGACCTGATGTCGTTGGTAGCCTTCAAGAAATGTCTTCATTTTTGATGTCTTCTCAATCCGTTTCACAGAATCACAGARTGGTTTGGGTTGGAAAGGACCTAGACCAGGATGCTCCGAGTCCCATCCAGCCTGAACTTGAACACTTCCAGGGTTGGGGCATCCATGACCTCCCTGGCTTTTAAACCCRATTTGTATTGCTTTAAATGACCCAGTGGTTCAAAATGCAATGCTGTGTCTGGAAGGAGAGTGGTGTTATTGTGTCGTTCATTTGTGTGTAGTCATCTTCCTCTCTCATAAAAACTCACTAAACCCATAGCATCAAGGCAAGCCAGGAATGAGAAGAGTCTTAAAAACTAGGTTATGAAAATGTCCACTTTGACTTCAGATCTGTTAATGGAAATGTTTTTAAGAAATTGAGAGTCTGCATGGCTCTGCTAAGAAATATAGTGTTCAGTGTGACAACTAGACAGAAAATTATGTTTTGTCTTCCTGAGATTGTGCAGTTTTGAAGATCATGAGTAGGTTTTGTGCTGTTTGTTGCCTGTGGCTGCTTGTGGGCAGCAGCACCAATCAGAACCTCTGGGCTGCCYCCACAGCCCCTCTAAGGTTTGTAAGGCAGATTTGCATTTGTCCTTCTCTGTGYTGGGCACTTCTCTCCTGGCCAGACCCAGGATTTTGAAGATGCATCTGTTCAAGTGAATTAAACGAGTCTGGTTTCATCCCTCAGCTCTGAGGCCAAGTAGTCTTATGATCCAAACCAGAATAAGCACATCCARATATCTGCTGGAAAAGGTCCTCAGCCCAAGCCAATCCATGTCAGGAACTGTGCCTTCAACTCAGCAGTCAGATAAGGTCCGGGCCAGGGGAAATTCTTTGGCGTGGTTTAATTTTTTGTAGCAGAAAACAATTTTACCAGTTCCTTTTGAGTTTCTGTAATGCAAAAGGACATGTATGTGGTGTCTCCTATAGAATCAATTTATGAAAGCTGCAACAGATTGTAAATAGATTGAAAAGTGTAATAGATTGTTCCATATCTGTTATTATAAAGTCAACAAACAGTAGGTGTTTTGTCATATGAATTAAAATAAAACCATGAAATAACCTGTCTCTAAGCTGTGACAGCATTCTCTAACCTGTTCAGTTAGCTCCTCTGAGACCAACATGTATTACTGGTTTTGSCAAAATATGTTTAAAAGCCCAACTACAAAAGACCAAAACAAAACAAAAAAAGTCACAAAAATAACCCAAAACCAACATCAAAAGCCCACAAAAATTCCTTTTGGATAACAAAAAAAMCAATAAAATTACTTCATGGACTGCAGTTCATATCTCTGAAAAGGCACCTGGTGGTGGTTAACCAGCTGGTAAATTTTAGGCCAAGTATTTGGAATTCTCTGATACTTTTAATGTAAATGCTTTTGTTTCATATTTTTAAAAGTTTGGCTTTTCTTACAGGTTCCTGAGCCCTGAATTTATACCTCCCAGAGGCAGAACAGATCCTCTTAAATACTACATAGAAAGAAAGGATATGATACAGAGAAGAAAAGTCTTCAACATCCCAGAATTCTATGTTGGTCAGTAACATCACTAAAACTTTCATAATCCTGTCAGGATTTTACATGGTGTGGGGTGTGGTCATATGTAGAATAGCACAAAACATCGAAGTCTCAGGTGTGTTAAAACAATTAGGATGTTTCTATATGCAGTACTTTGTATTTTAATCTCATATTTACATCCAAATTCATTAAAAGAATAATCCTGATGTGTTCTTTAGGTGGGATTTTTTCAATYCTGACACTTGAGCATATGATTTACCAGTAGAGTATGCTTTACCAATAGAGCTAAAGGAAAAAAAATTACATTAATTATATTCAGTTTGGATAGGGAATGACAAAAAAATAAAGATGAGGGAAGGTTTGTGGTCAATCTGCAGAATCACTTCGACCTTTATCAATTCAGGTCATGTTAGAAGTTTTTTGTTTCTGRCAGTTTTGATGGGAAACAAAATATTTTCAAAATGCACATGAATAGATGCACTTTGACTCTTTTGGTACTTATTAACTTGGACAGTTTATTGTAATCCATTTTTTTTGGCAGGCAGTGTACTTGCTGTGACTACTGCAGATCCCTATGCCAGTGCCAAATCCAAGCGGTTTGTTGGGATCTGCATTCAAAGGGGAGGGAARGGACTCGGCGCTACCTTTGTCCTTCGGAATGTCATAGAAGACCAAGGTGGGGTTTCAGCTGTGGTAATTATGCTACAAATGTTCAGCATAAAAATGTTTTAAGTTGTAATAATTATGTCTATGGGGAGGAAAATGGCAGACTGAAGTGAAATTGTGAGTCTGCCTGTTAGAGTACACTGCGAATTTAAAATGAATTTAAAATTTTTCTGTACACAGAAATGTTGTCATGCTCTGTACTTGAAGGCATGGAACTGCACAGTAATTTTTTGTGTATATACTTGATAATTTTTAGACATTTTGTGGTGGTGGTGCTTATGTCTGAGCCTGGGCAATCTGTTGCCATGTAAATATCAGCCCAGTTTGAGCACTGTGTTTGCATGAACCAGGGACGTAGGTGTGAACTGTTCAACAAGCAACAGGAGAGTTTTATCATTGGATCCTCTTCTGGATTATGACAAAATTGGGGACAATGCAAATAGTGGAATKCTGAGGGGAAATAAGAAAGGGGTGGGTGTCTTTTCATATACACTACAGGAACACAGTGTTGCATAATAACAGCCATTGTGACCAAAAGGGAGTAAAGTTTAAAACCCAAGCTCATCGTCCTTAAATTCGAGCCATTCACRTCTCTTAAGCCATTCTGTTATCAAAGATATGACTTACAAAGAAATGTGCAGACACAATGCACAAGTACAATCACAAGTGCACACAGCACTGTAGTGCTSTAGGAACTAAAAAGCAGTTTGCAATGATACAATGTATATCCGAAGCAATGCTGTTAATATTAGGTGTTAGTATTTCTCATCAGTTTGGTTTATTAAAGCAGACTTTCTGTCTCTTAAGGGGTTGAAATTTGTTATGAGCTGTACAGTCCTCGAATCCAGGCGATCGAGGTCCTGAAGCTGGAGAAGAGGCTGGATGACAACCTGATGTACCTGCGAGATGCCCTGCCTGAGTACAGCACTTTTGATGTCAATATGAAACCTGTGTCTCGTATGGACCAYGAGGAAATTCCTGTGAACAAGGTAGGAGCCACATGTTTCAGAGGGAAAGCACAGGATTRTATACATAACTTCCATTTATGACTGTTATCCTGGAAGGCTGTATGAGCTCTTTGCTACATCAGTTACCAGGGTGACAAAAGCAGGTAAAATCAGGCAAGTCTTTGTGCCATTTCTATAGTGAAAGAATGTGAGTGATCTGCTATCCTCAGTAGTTAACTTTAAAGACATGCAGAGTAGCAGCCTCCCTATTCCTCTGTACAACTGTGTAGAGAGGAAAGCTTGTCTTACAGAAACATTATTTACTGATTGGAGTGGTTGGTGTCAGGAAGTAAGGTAAGAAAGATGAAAAGACAGCTAAAAGATGCATCTCAGGAAAGATCCAAATCCAGCAGACCCTGCCAGAGTGCTCTATAGTATATCATATATCATACATCATACTGTATACTCAGTATGACAATCCCTCCTTTTCCTATCATGCTACTTTTATTTTTCCTTAATAAGGAGCAAAACCACAAAATATGAGTTAGCTTCACCGTGTTTCARTTAAAGACACTGGGATAAATCAAGATGGTATTAAGTTTTACAAGATACTATGATAATAATCATATAAAATAGTAGTAGTTCCTTAACACAATGACAGATTGGTTGGTTTCTCTTACTTTCCTTCTGTTAGAGCAGCAGTTGTGATCACAACCAAAAATCGAATTAATATATTTTTATTGKTTTTTTTTTTCTTTTTTAATCTTTGACTTTAGCTCCAGGTACGAATGAAACCTAAACCATGGTCAAAACGGTGGGAAAGACCCAAATACAATATAAAAGGAATAAAGTTTGAGCTACCAGAACATAAAATGAAAGCAGCACAGAAGTGGACCCAGCCATGGCTAGAGTTTGACATGCTAAGAGAATACGACACTTCAAAAATAGAGGAAAAAATTCGGAAAGAATTGAGCGAAGAACTTGAAAAATAATAATGTTTTTTTTTCAGTCTACAAGTTACTGAGAAAATTATAAATTTTAATTTACTGTATGGATGATCGTCAAGTTTTGTATATACATGGGCAAAGCAAACAATAAAGTTAACCTTTCCAGATTTCTGTGACTCAAGTGTCCACTGTCCTCCCAATGCTTACAAGTCATTACAAGGAATCTTTCTTCCAGAAACAAACATCTGCAGAGCTAAATTGTGATGGAACACCAATTACAGTTTTGTTATAGCACAAGGCTGGTGCTAGAGACAAGCTGGGATGAGACAAAGCAGAACAAGTGAAAAGCAATGAGATCATGAGCTTGTGGTGGTTGCTGAGCAGCAGTTGCATTTTTGTTGGCATTCTGAGAGGAAAAGCAACAGAAATTGATTATTAGAAAGCAGTATTTACAACATCAATCCTAAAGCTACTGATTGTTAGTGGAGCTGGAGGCTTTTTCATACCTCTTAATAACRTTTTTGTCACGACAAAGAATTGTACTGTAAGAGTCATTACCACAGTGAAGTATTTTATTTTCAAAATAAAACAAATTATTTATCTTTTGTCTGTAATACTTATCAAAGCTATTTACAATTAAAATATTTTACAAAAATATATTTTTAACTTAAAAAAATACAAAACKAAGGCATAGGGATTAAGTCTGCAAGAGCTGAATTCTCTTCCCAGAAGATTTTGGAGAAATAGTCACAAACATGGATTCTGTGATRCACTACAGTTTTTACAATGAAGCATCCTTGTTATTGTACAACAATATTTATTGCAAATATACAAAGTTATAWAACRTTAGAAATCTAATATGAATATGAAKAAGTAAGGTTCTGTAGAGCTKACTGGGGARCAAAAGGAATTTTCTAGAATTCCAGTTAGTGGAAAGTAACTGAAGTTATTCTGTTCTCATCATCACAATGTCTGATGAAAATCCTGATTTCTCACCTGCATTCTGGCCCTTCTTGTTTCTGTATCAAGGGTATAATAAATTATTTTTCACTAGGAATGGCTTAACAATAACCCTACCAAAAACTCATTGTGGACCACAAGTTAGAAGWGCTAAGTGACTGCTGAGTCAGAATGATATTTGACGATTAATACTGAAAATAACTTGTCAAGTTGTCTACTGGCTGGCAGTGACAAACTTCACAGGCACTTTCTGTTTCCAGGATTCCTTCCAAGAAGGATACAGCAGTAAAGCGCTGTCACGCATTTTAGACATTTTACAATGCCTGAGCCATTGCTTTGACAACTGTGACTTGTAAATACTCCTTAGCCCAGGAGGAGATGGCAGTAAAAGACATTTGGAAAAAACGCCTCATGTATTTAACACTAAGACAGTGATTACCACTACCTCTTTGCGTAGGTAGCATCCACTAACTCAATTTCACAATAGAACTGGTTGAGTGTGAATAGCAGGCTTGTTTCAGTAAATAGAAGTGTTGCTTCAAAAATGTTTATTTCCCAATCATTGGTTTAAGGTGTTCAAGTTTATGCTCCTCAATGAAGTCTTCCACAATATGCAGAGCTCCAATTTTCACCAGAAGGAGAAGAACTTCTTTTGTTTCATCACTATTTAAAAATTAAAAAAAAAATTATAGCAGCACTGTTATGAACCTGTCTGAAATACCATTTTTGTTTCATGACCTTGGCTACTCTGATCATTAACAGCACCCAACATGACCACCTCAAACTATCACAGTAAATGAAAGTGAAAGTTGCTGAAGTGCTCCTTCACATGAGACTCCATCTTTTCTTTTATATATATATATACATGATACAAACATACTTGAAAGTGTCAAATATATGGTATTTCAGGGAAATACATAATATAATACAAATAATATAATACAAAGTATTTGGGGAAGCACTTGAATCCCAAGGACAGGCTCATCTGTTACCTGTGGTTGTCCTTGTGTAGTGTRCGAGCACATTGCAGCAAGTGCTGGCTGAAGTTCAGTAATTCAGGGAGAGTGGATCCACCTTTAAGATCTTGGAACCATCTTTCTGGAAGGCATGCAACCACCTGTTCACACAARAAATATTTGGAAAAAGTTTAAAAAGCATTTCAGTATAACCAAGTCACTTTGCTTCTGACAGGAACCTTCTGGCACGTTCAGACATTTTTAGTGTACTTTTCCTTTCAAACCCACATTGATTATTTCTACAAGTAATTATGCTTAAGAATCTACAGACCAGTATTTGCTCTAAAATGCTCTTAYGCAGCAAGGTTGTTAAAATATTAAAATCAAATTTTAAATGGTTTTTTTTTTAATATTCCATCTTTAGCTTTGACCCCTATTCATGAGAAGMAAAAGGCTTTCAGCCTACACCCTCTTCCATACATGTTATCTTTTACCTTATTACATTTTTCTATATTATCTGGCCCTAAAGGTGTGTTTAGGATGTTCAGAAGAAGGTAACGATTCAGCAACTTGCTCAGTCCCAAATCACGGACCTTGTCTTCCTGGACAATCCCATCCCAAAGAACAACATTGGAGAGCAGCTGCAGAAATGAAGAAACAAAGAATCTGTATAAGTGATAGCTGTAAGTGTGCTAAAATTGTTACAAGTTTCATGCAAGATAAAGATAAAAAGATACTATGTCCATCCAAATCAAGTACTCAAACCCCAGGATTTACACTCTCTAAACTTATGGTTAGTTAGAGAGTTATAGGTCATTATATACTAATAAGCTGTATATAATGAATAATTTAATTAATTTTACAAGTGCATCTATATATATGTATACATACACCTGTATATGTGTGTATGTATATATGACCTCCCAAGGGTGGGAAGAGCATTTTACCCTTCTAGGAGGTTAACAATTTGCTAAGTACAGAAGGCAACTAAGCAAACTGTCGAGAATTCAAGAGAGAAGTGAAAAAGTTACTACATCTGCTCAGGACAARATTGCACAGTCCTTCATAACATGATAATGCTACAGTTTGTGGTATCACAAAGATTTTTTTATAATTCATGTCTAWTACTGACATGAACTACAAAACAACCCTCAGGCACTAAGGGTTTTTTCTGTTGCCCCCTCATTATAAATCAATAATTGTTGTCATTTTTGAATCTGGTTTAAGGYTGTGTCTGGGAGGGTAAAATACCTTGAGGTTAAATTATCTGAAAATTAACTTGAGTCAAGGCAGAGGACATGAACAGCAGGGAAAYGGGAATATTGTCTGGGATGTTACTGTTTCCATTAAAATGAATTTCAAAGAAAACAAGCAAATAAACAACAAAAACAAAATTTGCTCTACCTTAACAGCTGACCAAAACCGTCTTTCCTGAAAYTTTGARCGTAGTGATGACTTGTCTTCCACAGTGCTGGTCATGGGAAGGAAAAAAAAAGTTAAAACAAGGATTATATTTTGTTTGATTTAAAAGGAGATAAACAGACATCTGATCACTATGTCTACAATATTTTATCTACATCTGTAGGCAAAAAGGGTAGAGAAACTAAAAAAAAAAATACAAGTTTAAGAGAGTCACATGGTCATCTTACCTCTTAGGATACAGAGGAATAAAGACATCTTCCTCTACAGATTTCTTCATTCTTAGGACAACTGTGTTCATCAAATCCTATTAAAAAAGAATTAGTAATGTCACTTCAGAAGAAGGACTTCATTTTCCATKTGTCACAACCTCAGTGGTTATTTATGAACCAGAAGTCTGGTATTTTAGAGGTAAGTGCAGTTGCCATTTGTATATAATACACACTGAGATCCTGAATAAAAAAYAAAAACAGTAGACAAATCACAGCTGTAATTATCTATAGGCTTAGCCTACAGCATTTTGCTATATGCCTAAGCTATATCCCTAAGTGAGGCCTTTTTTCATGTTAATCTGCAAGGCAGAGGGAAAACTGCACAGATTAAATACAGAATTGTTATACACAAAGGATCTCCATTAAATGATGTTAAATTCTATGTAAAAAAAAAAAAAAAAACCATCATGGCTAGGATAGTATGCATTTCTGGACAACAGGCTTTCATGTGCCATGATGCCACCTACCTTTTATTAGTCTAATCATTTATTTTATATCCTGGCTACTATGAGCTGTATCACTTGACTTTAAGCCATGGTTTCAACACAGCAAACTTTAGAAACCATAAACATTTTCTTTAAAATATTTCTTTTCATACTCAGGGCCCAGACCGCCCCATTTCACCAGTTAATCACCYCATTTTCACTAGATAAACTTCCAGATTCACCCCAGAATAAAACCAGAATCAGGCTAAGAAGGGCTTGCTGGAGTGACTGCGTATGTTAAAGTAATTATTAAAGGATTGCCAGGATTACATAGTATTTTTTCTCCTCAGCAATTAACCAACCTTTGGGGATTCTGAAGTTTTAAAATTCTAGGCTTACTTTATAAATAAAAGCTTAAGGAATGGACCACTGAAGCATTACCAGCATTTAAAGCTCAAATTTGGAAACATAATTAAATGTAAATCATTGTTATTGCAGTGTAGAAAGGGTAGATTTACTAAAAGATTCTGGACAGATACAGGCAGAATTTTTCTAAGAAAAGGAGCTAATTTCTGCCTCAAGGGTGTCTSATCATCTTCAACAAGGAGAGAATCAGAGAGCTGACAGTTTAACTGTTAAATAATCTTAATATAAAGTGACAAAACAAACAAGTAATCAGAACCCAACAACTTCAGGAGAATGTTCTCAGTGCAGTACACACAAAGTTACATGCAATGGTTGAAGTTCCCCTTTCTCAGTACCACAGAACTCTTACCTCTCTGGCTCGATTGGAGTCATTTTTGGAAAAGATTTGTCTCCCAAAGATGTTATTGCAAAGCTGTACAAGRTTCCTTGTTTGTGAAGTAGATAAAGGATCCCACACACTCTTCACAAATACTGAAAAAAAAAGATAGGATTTCATTACATTCATCATATGCAAGCACTTATCTGTAGTTTCAACTTTCGTTACAATGTTACAGAAGTAAACATATAAAAAGCTCAGCCTCCCACAATCATATTAAAGAGGCCACTTTAGCCTCGCTCTGTTGAGCTGTGTAATCACTACATCTTGCAAAATGGTGATATCACCACCATTATTTGATATTATCTTTTTTATTTAAGGTTTGACTGCATTGCTGCAGTGAACATTTTCAGTACAATCTTATCATACCTGTAATTTTGGGAAGAATAGTTTTTTCAATCACTCTAGGCAAAACTTTTTGATCGTGATCATCATCCCTTTTTGATTCAGATACATTTTCTGCATTGCTGAATTCTTCTATAGCTCTGAACCAGGGCATCTCTTCCAGCTCTGTAAAATTCTGCTGAAAGATCACTCTTGTCAGTTGTTCAGCTGGTCAGCCTTAAGAGAACAGCTCCATCCARTGATACCTCAGAATCCCACCTAATTTCAGATACAACCTCATCACTGAATGGGCCAAAAGAGCAAACCAGAAAAATTAGATTTACAGCTAGAATTCAATGGGTGGGATTATTCAAGCACCTTCAAAGAACTCAGGAGAATTGTTTTTACAGGCGGTGTTGCAAAAGGGGCTGGAGGTAAAGGAAAAAGGGAAATTCAAGACAATTCTAGAACACGCTTCAATTTTTTTAGACAACACAGTAGCTTTCTATTAATTTCTAATGCACTGTGCTATGTATAAAAAAACCCCCATATTTCATATGGATACATAATACACGCACAAAATTTTTTAAGACAAAATCAGCTGATGCACCTACCTCAAGAGGATTCCAACTTATTAACTGAACTCTGATCAATGGATTTAATAGCTTAGGCAGACAGAAACTGATGTAAGCATCACAGTAAGAGTCAGGAAACTTCTCTTTCCATTCCTGGAATTTCAACAGGATTTTTCTGATGTCACAAAAATCTGCATGTACATCTTCAAAGATTTTCCTACTATCCTCTAWAACGTTATCTATGGATAATATTAATTGGGAATAAAAAGAAACAATCACAGAACTTATTGAGGCATAAGCTAAWGAGGTTATGCATCTATAGGACATAAATATTTTTATGGTAATTGCATTTGTTATCTATCTTTGACACATCTGACACTAAAAACCAGCTCCCAGGAAAACCCAGAAAAACCACTTAAATAGATACTTTTATATATATATATTTATCTAGATTTTTTTAAAAAAAAATATTTTGTTTTTAGAAAAAAATAGTCTCAGGAGACCAAGGAAAGGCAAGTTTCTTCATGATCTATTTCACAGATTTATATAACTACTACAATTCAAACTTCATTCCAGAATGACAGAATTTCAGGCATGAAAGCCCTTCTGCTGTTATGTGAAGAAAAGGTATCATCCCTTTCCCTCCTCCTCTTCACCCATTCATTCAAGATAATTAAAACACCAATCTTTAATTCASTCTCGAGCTTCAGGAAATAAATTGACTATATAAAATATGCTGCAACACTGCACTGAGTACTGTCAGATCAGCTTTGGCATAATCTGACAGATCTTACCTGTAGATTAAAAAACCATATGTAATGCTGCCACCACATAACTGGCACCAAAAGAAATCTAACCATTCATTTATTCTTCTCAAGTCCTTAGTCAGAATTGCCTGGATGCATTTTTTTTGTACAGTGTGCARTTAAGAACATGGAACTAAAATGAAGTAATCCTCTTAAAAAAAATAATAATATCAACAAGAGAACTTGCTCTAGGATGTCACATTAGGACTGTGACTCACTTTTGCTCTTCTGGAACTCATCCACCTCTGTGGGAGTCAGTTCTTCATCGCTCGACAAGCCCTCATGGTGATCTCCTGCTCCTGATTGCTCCCTCGCCTGCCGCCTGCAAGTCCTGCAGTTTGGAATGAACCCAGATGAGTTATCATCTCCTGTGTGTGCAGGAGAAAGTTTAARGAAAAATAATCCAATTTCAAAAATTGTGCTGCAAGAGTGAGAACAACCCAAGGAGATGCAATGGGGGGGAAACAGTAACTACGCTACCCTAAGGACACCTACACTGTGCAAGGAGGGGATTTGGGAACTGACATCCAAGAGCTTAGAGCAGCATCTCTGACCTCCACATGAGCCATGCAACAACCTTCCCTTCACCTCATTCCCACTGACAAGAACAACTCATCCCACCCACAACACTGAGCAGCTGCTGTGGAACTGGATCCTGTCTGATAGTTGTRGTGTGCAGTAAACAACTGAGCTCTCAGACTGTCCTGTCAGACCTGGATCACTTGTTCAACAACCTACWTGGAATAGGTGATAGCACCCACGTGCTACTAGGGCTCTAAATATTATTGCCAAGGCACAAAAGGCTGCAAAATCAATGTCTTGAATTTCTACCACAGGAAAATGATACATGATACAGAAGTAATATTGCATAAATACTTTTAAACTGTTATTCACATCAATTAGCATTAAGAGTTAACTGCTTCGTGGAAGTTATTAATACCACTTTTCATACATTAGAATTCCAAGGTACTTGCTGCTTCAAGGGATAGTTACAAGTTGAGGTACCACTGCAACTGTAAAACTTTCAAAGCTCCCAATAATATTAAAAAAAAAAATTATACCAATCTCTGAACATTGTAAATCCAAAATGTAGCATCTGTCTGACCTACACTGATAGCAGACTGGAGGCTAGAGGTAGATTTGCTTCACTCTCCACCACCTCCCTAGTAGAAACAGTTTTGCTCAATTTTGTTACTTATACAGTAATAAATATATTTCTGCAAAAGTTCATAATATTATTAATTAAATCAGGRAGGAAAAAGCTTCCCTCATAATTTTGTCTCACTTAAGACCTTTTAATTTAAAATAGCTAGCTCTGTTAGCACTCAGGTTCAAACCAACATGAAGAAAATGACGTTAACACGTAGATGGCTTCCAAGTACTTCAGGTTTTGGAAAGCAAATACTGAAATATTYTTAGTGTAATCTCATTTAGTAATCYTACAGGTTTAYATTCATGACTGCAGGAATGACAGGAAGTCAGAGCACAGCACATTTATCAGAATTAAGTGCACCTCTATGTAACAGTTACCTTCGATGTTCACACATTTCCAGAACCTGTGTCTTCCCATCACCTTCCATTCCACCTTTTGTTGGTTTGTTATTCCCACCTATCAGAAGACAGAAACAGCCCAAAATAAAGTATTAAGATTTTAAAGTTTCCTTTTTTTTT